GGTCCTAATAGCTACTCCTTTTAAATGTGCAAGATATGTGCTGATTGAGCGTCTCTTTAAAAAGTTATGATTCTCGAGCAAGCAATACAAAAGGGCAGTTTGATTCACTTTGGCATTTTTCTTGGAAATCTTAACTTTTCATAAAGACGCTCAGTCAATGCAAACTTTGCACGTTACAAAGAACAGGTAATAGAACCTATAATATGACAGCTCCGATTTTTACTGCAAGTTGCAGATTTTTTACGACCTTACCCAAGAAATTCAAAATTTGAGTAATTTTCTTCTACCGTTTCCATTTATGCAGTGTTTGCTTAGCCGCTAATTGAAAGCAGGCAAATCGGTTAAAAAAATCAAAAGTTATGAATTTTTGAAAATAGTGCGACATTTGCCAACCTAATAATTTTACTCCAGGAAGCGAATGACTGACTAATTCGTTATCAATTTTTCTGCTTCAAACTCACAATATCCTCTGTTTCATAAGGCTACGTTGGTTTTAACCGAACTACCTCAAATACAGCTGTGGCCGTAGTCATCAACAAACCTTACGCGAAAATGTTTACCCTTAATGGTAAATTTACTCTCAGGGCAATTTTACCCCAAAAAGCAATTAGCCCGTATTCGCGAATTAGAAAAAAACGCTTAGCCTCAAGAGTGACGTTAAGGGTAAATTTTACCCCCAAGGTTTGCTCTCAGGGGTTAATTTTACCGGTTCGTTGATGAATAGGCCATAGGTTAGCTTGGCTCTAATAGCATTTTTCCAGTTTGAATTATATTCACCATTTTCAAGAAATTTTTTCATCTTTTCAGCTGCAAAAATCAACAAACTCGAATGTATCTAACTAGCAGAGTTTCAATAAAATAACGTGATGTCACGTGTTCATAATCAAAGCCGTATGTTTCTAAATATTCGCAGATACAATGTACTTGTTTAGGGCGAAAATTATTCTATGTGGTCAGTAGCTCTATGAGGAGCAACTGTTGTGTATTTCTCTTCTTTGACTTCCACTTTTTGTATCTTTTCGTGGTCTTATGTTAACCTTTTAATCGAATATAATTAGGATATAACGCTTCCATATACAGCTTGTAGAGAATAAGGGCAAAAAAACCAAGCATGATTTTTTTTGAATAAAATCTCAGTTGAGAGAATACTGCTCACTGACACGGCTTGGTAGAAACGTTTCTCTTATCCGATCATTGCCTTAACACTTGACTTTTCATAGAAGATCTTCTGTTCGTTTATTCTCTGCTCATATGATGGCTTAGATATTGATTCTTTTTAGGACTGCGAGCATTCACGGAAATGTATGGAAGTGCTGGCACGCCGCCTGGACGATCTGAATGATGTGAGAACTTGTTTTCGGAACTTTTTCTGGATTTTCTTGTTCATAGTTTCATGGCTTCTTCTTGTGCTTTCTATTAGGTCGTTTCGTAAGTTCGTAGAGTTTTTATAAATCAACGAAATGACAAAATTTTGGCAAAACTCAGTCAATGTATATTCCGTTGCTGCGCACAACCTTCTGCCACCATGCCACCAGATTTTCATTCCTGCTTTTCCAGAACTTAGCGGTTCTGGACCCAAAAAATTCCTTTAACTGGCGCCTGAAATACTCTCCAGAATCAAAATAGATGCCGTTTGTATGATCTGTGATAGACTGGAACAGGTGACAATATGGTAGAGCGAAATCTCAGGAGTACATCGAATGCTAATGTACCTTCCGGTTAAATCTTGCAGGACAGATGGGACGACGTTTGGCGTAAGGAGCCAAATTTCGTCGCGCAAAAAAGCTCATTGGACCTGTTAAGCCTTTTCTGCAGTAGGGATTCATCTAAAAGGTGCAGCCTGGTTGCGTACGCTATGGGCGACCGTCTTGTTCTTGTCAAGTAATTTTCAGCGAAGTGCTCACGGGACATTCTGCAAACTCTTTGTTTTTTGGAGCAATCCAATCCTTATTTATCTCATATTAACCAGAAAACGCCAAGTTATAACCGGCAAAAAAATCGCGCAGAAATTTTTTTTTATAAGAAAAACTGAGCAAATCCCGAAAATGCTTCTTTTTGCCTTTTGAGAAATCCTTTTTTGAAAGCTGAAAAACCAAAGCAGATTAGGTTTTTATCGAAGCTGATTAGTTTGTTTTAAAGAGCATGATCAGCTCTTTTCAATGATCTACGCATTTTGCCACAAATCAACCGCTCCTAAAAGAAATGAAAACGAGAATGAAAACTTTACGAACTTATGAAACGACCTAATATTTTGCTAAAAGTTATTCTTTAGCAATGCAAAGTATCGTATCGCTTTCACTTTTTTCCAAATTGCAGCCTAAAATCAGTTTTACCTACATAAACGAAAACAGTCATTTATCTAGTAGGTTGTAAGCTTTGGAACAAGCTGTCACGCAAACAACGAAAGAACAAACGCTTTTTCATACCCCTTACTTTCTTTCAAGATACTGCAAGTGTCATAGTTCGATCCTAAGAAGAAGAGTTATCTCAACTAATAATCTCACGCTTTTCTTTTCATACAGCTTGCTTTCAAACGCATAAAGTTTAGCTGCTTTGAAGCCATTATTTTTAGTAATTTTATCAAACTATTCCCTATTTAGCTCAATATTTTCCTGGCCAAATGTACTGACAACAATCTTAAACTTAATGTGACTTCGCAGAGGAACTCTTACTGCTCCTTAGTGCAGCCTACATCCATATGTTGCTTATAATGAGACCACTTATTGTTAGATGAAACAAGGCAAGAGTACATAGGTAGAGTTGGGAAGGAAAAGCGAAAGGCTGGGGTGGAGCGAAGGGTGATTCAAAAAAAAATGTATTTAGTATAGAACTCAGAATTCGTCGCAAAGAATTGGATCTTATTGGGATTCCATTTGATACTCTATAAGGTTTATCCCTTTGGGGGAAAACACTTTTGCCATGATTTATTTGATAGCTAAAACGCTCTCCAATAAAATTTAACCGGCATGTGAACCGGTTCTCTGTAAAATAAAGTCTAGAGAAACGTGAAAAAAGTGATTCTGCGAGCTTTGCGTGCCCCGTCAAGAAAAGCTCACTATAGATGATGTTTTGTGTTAGAATGTAATGCTTTGCTACAGGATTGTATTTTCTTCGTTACCGACACAATCCTTACCTTGTAGCAAAGCTATTTTCTGCATTATTTATGTTTAGGTGGATCACAATCTTTCGATCCTACTAGTAAAACCAAAAGACCTGTTTACATTCTCTGATTTGCATAGAAAGATGAGTTACTGCTAATATATGTAGCTTGCTGTTACTTAACAAAACAGCAACATAAAAATAGAATGACGTTTTGCTTTGTTCGGCAGATCCTATGAGACCGCATTGTTAGAGGAGCGCTGGAAGAACAGAAGTTGGAATATAATTTTAAATACCATGGCAAAATCTTGCTATAATCTCCACAAAAAAATCAGGTCGGAGCATAAGTTGTTACAACTGCAGGAAAAAACCTCCATAGCTTCTTTTGAAATTTCTTTTCCATATACAATCCACATGTTGAATTCTAGCTAATTGAGATATTTATATCACACATGTAAAATCACTTTTAACTTTTTCAAGTTTCCTCGAGTCACTTCGGCAAATTTCCAACTCATATTAGTAAAAAGTTTAGCCCTTACTGCCTTCGTTGTAGCAATTCCAAAAACCCATATGAAATTAAAAGGAAAATTGTGAGATTTCAGAAGATAGAAGGTAAAATATAGGTAGCAGGGGTAGCAGTACCCATTACAGAATTGTACCGATTGCTGTAACTATCATAACATGGGTGAGACCTTTTTGCTTGCTGCAAAGAAGCAAATTTTCAAAGTTTTGTTGAAAATTCGATTTGATTGTGTTCAACATGAAGAGAAGGAATTCCCTTAAAAGGTTTTTTTGATATATAATCAACTCTATATTTAGGAAGTGAAGAGATATCGAGACTTTTTGAGTCATGAAAAATCCCGACGAGATCCTGCCCTTTACAAAACGACCAATCTAGACCGGCCAAGTGTGTACAATGAGAACATCTGCGGAACGATGAACAGTTTGACATCACAACTCACTCAGGTAAACATTCAAGCTTCATACTAATTCATGATGTTAATGTCTTATTACTTTATAAGGCGTAGATTGTGACCCCTTACATTGTAAACATTTGGGAAAAGGCTTTGATATAAAAAACCAGTACTTTCATGTTACTGTAAGCGTACTGTAAGTAAAGTTTCACTTCTTCACTTCAATGTCAGTCTAAATTAAGATCGCGCCAAAGCGGCACAAAATTCCTTATTGACCATAATTCTAACATAATTTGCGTTAAATACCTTTGCAGAAACGCCATAGAGTTTTGCAAACACTTTTGTAGTCATTAAATCAAGAATCATTTTCACTAAGGCGTCAGAATTACTTATGTTGCACTGTGCCGGTACCGTGCCAGCGCCGTGCCAACACTGCGTCAAGACCCAAGTGGGAATGACACTAATAGATTGACTGACATTTCGGCACGGCGCTAGCACGCACAACTCAGTACGTAACATAGAACTCAAGAAATACGCTTCGCACATAACTCTCTATGCTTTATAGCAGTCAAAAGCTATCATCCTAACGAGTTGATTCACTTAACTCATCTATTTTCATCATTATTTTTTTCAGTTGGTTTTTACATTCAATTAATGTTGTAGTGTTTGCTGAGCCTGATATCAATGTTTGAAATTTGACAGATGACAAGATGATAAATTCACAAGTCCCCAGAAATTCTAGGTTTTAGGGCGTACGAATTCCTATAGTCATTGCTGTAAGAATGACATCAGTTTATCATTTTATTTTCGAACCGAAATGCCATACTAACAGAATAAGGTTAGGTTAGTATTTATTAGAAAACGCACCGTTGTTGTTGTTTTGCTTTGAGATGTAATTTTTTTTAGGTATTTCAAACTTTATTCGAAGTACAAGACAATCTGAAAGCAGATAAGCTTTGGAAATCAAACGTTTATGAAGATTTTCAGGAATAGTCGGAGAAGCTACGTTTTATTCATGGTGGTCTACAAGCAACTCCATGTTCAGCACCCAGTTCTCGTGCTTCTGATCAAAATTGATCTCTATCAGCATCTACCCCTTTGTGCAATATTTACCTCTGTTTCAATAAGTATGTTTTTCGTCTTGTAGATAAATGCTATTTTTTTATTTTAGCTTCTACGTCAGCCTAAATCCCGTTGATTTTATTAGCAACGGAAAATTATAGTTCGTATGTAGGGTTCAAACAATGTAGTTTGAGTTTGGCGCCAAGAACATATTGTGGATTTAGCGCTTTTGGCGCTAAATCCATGGTTTAAATTTGTAAAAAACCACAATTTTTGAAAGGATGTATGCAGTATAGGATTATGAGGGGTCCGTAGGAAATTTTGCAAGCTGCTAGAAGTGAGAAGTGGTAATGTTAATTGGAATTACTCATACATTTGTCTAGATCCCAATGATGCAGTTCCCTCTCCCCCCCCCCCCTCCCCCTACACCGGATCCGGACTCTCCAGCTCAACAAGTGCGGCTTTATCAGAAGTGCTTTGGTGTGAAAGAAGCAAGTGTAGTCTGCATACGAGCGGCTTGGAGTAAAATTCTGATTTTACAGAGATAAGATTTACGTAGGAAAATCAAATTTTTCAAAGGAGTGAATAAAAAGCTTATATTGTGTAGAAAAACTTCATGTACCTTGATGAGGGATATAAATTACATAAAGTTTAGTGGAAGCTGCATTACTTTTTTATTCAACAAATCAAGAAACAAAATCGTATAACGATTCAAAAGTATCCATGACGTCAAAGTAATTGAGAAATAATGGCAGCGAGTTTTTTTTTGAGAGTTTGGTCATTTCCTGCACCTTTAACGATAAGTTAGAGTCAACACTCCATAAGTGAAATTCACGGAGAAATCGTAGTAAGTAGTAGTAGATGGCGGAAGTGAGGTAAACCTTAAAAATATTCTTACTTGATTTAGGCAAAATAGATGTGTTTCAGACTTCTTGTTCTTTTGTACTTCCCTCCTAAAAGTGTTGACGCTGAGTGCTATAAAAACTATTCCTGACTACGTTTTCAAAAATTCGCATAGTGGGGTGCCCTCGAGCGTGTAGAAGTAACTGAATGAATACGTAAATATACGAGTAAATAATTCAGTACTTAGAATTTCTAGAAGGCAACTAAGAGGCTAGTGGTACTGCTTCGATCTGTATAAGATAACGCACTCTCACCAAAATTGTAAATTATTGTCAACAAGAGGAGATTCTAACTTTTAGGATATAGAGAGATTCACAAATTAATAGTGAGCTGTAATAGGTGTCTTCAAAAACAAGAGACATTGTAATTTGAGTAATTCATTCACTGGAATTTTTTTTAGAGATTTCTATAGGACGCATAAAACTAAGAAGTTCAAAAAGTTATCTTAATTGTAATTTCTGCAATTTCTTGTAAAACAAGTTTATTATTGTTCAACTATCATGTGACGTTTTGAATCAAAGATGCTGAGAACTCAGTAATTTACAAAACATCATCACACAACAACATCAGTGAAGGATTTGCCCGGAAGAGTATGAGTTGTTACTTGAAGAAAATAAAGTTAGATCAGCTGTTAATCCAAAAATAAGGGAAAATCAATATTGAATAAAGTATTTAATGTAAAGCTGCAGCAAGCAGTGAGCATTTTTATAGCCGGTGCAAAGGCGTTCACAAATATAAGCTCATATGATAGATATAGCAGCTGTACTGTCTAGTTATGGAAAATAAAAAAAATACTCGATTACCATGAGAGCGTCGAGACCGGTAACACGGAAAAACAGAAGTCTGTGTGACAGTTCCTCGAGGATGATCGACGAAGTGCTCAAGACAGAAGGCCCTGCTGGTGACGGACACAACTTTGTCACCGCCCACCCCCCACTCTTTTAGCAGAAGTGTTTTCGTCACTCATCGTCTGCGCGACAACTGGAAACTTTCTCACAACTCGGTTCGAGAAATTTTCCACATCGTTCTTTTGCTTTACAGCTATCGCGCTACTGCCAGTGCGGCTGCGACATGGCGGTTGAGAAATTTTCTGAGAAAATTCCCAGTAAGCTGACTTAACTCTCAGCCAGCTTCTCTATCACGTTTGGGGCTCCATGTTTGTTCTCGTTCAAGGTGAGACCGTCGCCGTGCTCACTCGCTAACATTTCGAGTGGATGTTCGCAAGCCGTCTATTTTGTGCTCGGACGCTATCTCAAGTCCACTCGGCTATCTGGTCACACTAACTACCAATTTACTCCTTTTACTGAGAGTGGCAGGACCCTATCTTTCGGCTATGTGCGGTACCAATCTGCTAATTTACAGACCCCCTATTTGTTTTCACTTCCTCTCTTCGTTTCTTACTGCAGTTTGTTTTGGAGAATTCTTTTTTCCCCATTGTTCTGTTGTCTTCTATCGGCATAAGCTGAAGTGAATTTTTTTATTTAACTACCTTCTGAATAGAAACAAACTTCATGACTGTGGCCACCCTCTTTTTTTTCTGACCTAAAACTTCGGAGTTTTCACACTGTAAATATTAGGTTGTCCCGAAAGTTTTGTCGGTTTTTTCAAATCACTATAAAACCACGCACAATAAAGACCCAAATTAGTTTCAACATGCATTCGATGCATATTTTCCTTCTCTTCCTTACGAATACATTTTCGAACCAAAAACTCGTATGCTCTTTTTGATAACTGCCAAAATTCTCCTCCCGTCAATTTCATCTCCTCTAAGTTAGGCTAATTTTCAAAAACTTCATTCTAAAGTTTCGAAAAGAGTTAAGTGCGGATCAAGTAGAGCAATTTTTGGACTACAAGGTAGTATTTTTAGAATTTCCTGATCCGCTGTTTTTAGTTTCAAAAAATTATTTCTTCGGAGGTTTTGATTTTTGGCAATGTCATGAAACACGCAACTGCAGCAAATGCACGAAAGCATTTGAAGTTTTTGCGAATTCAAACATGATTCTTATTAAACATTATTTATGCAATATAACCAAGTCTGATTTGCTTCGAAAAAGCAGCTTTTTGGAATTTTCGGTACTTTTAGGTGGTTAACGTATTCAAAAAGCCGCGGTTTTTATTGAATAAGTAATTATAACGCACTTAGTAAACGTGGCCCATGTAATCTAAAATGACTGCAATGTGGCCAAGGATTTGCTTTGCGTTATAATCATCAGCGCTCTTTGAAAGCATCAGAATAAATTTTTTCAAAATTCAGGAGATATTTGGCGTCAGTGCTGAGCTGCTCAAAAGCCATGGCGATAACGTTGCAAATACAGGGTAGATCACAAAGCAAATATAGCTGTAAGAAAGAGTATAAAAGTGTGGATCAACTGGTACCCAGGTCGTCTATGGATTGGTGTACTGTGTGAGAACCTAATATATAATGAAATCACATATTCACGGCTTGTTATACTATTAGGTGGGACCGAAAGTTCGTGCCGTTCATTAGACCTACTCTCAAATCGTTCTGAATAAAGATAGACAAACACTCTAAAAAAGGTTCTATGCAAAACTTCTTCTTTCCGGCCGTAATATTTTTGTTCGGATTCGCTTGATGTTCAAGAACTGCGTGCCTTTAGCAAGCTCAACGATTTTAATGACATTTTATTTTTGTGCGCTTATGTTTTGTATGTGAGTCAAGAAGATCTTTTAGACAAGAAGAGTGAAGCTTCGAAAGAGGATTTTAATGTAGAGTCAATGGTTAATACGACAAGATATCCTGTTTTGCAACTCCGAATTTCAATACAGAGCTTTTCTGCTTCCCTCTCTTCCTACGGTTTACAAGATTGTATTGCTAGCTTTTCAAAAGGCAAAATTATATTCTTGCTATTCCCACTGTCGCTGATGTAACTGAGGGATAGAACGAACCACCAACAAAGGTTATCTTTTTAGCACAGATTGCTCGATGAGGAAGTGAACGGTCGGTATAGCCTGTGGAGACATGCTTATCATAATCATATGAAACCGTATTTTTTCAGCACGAATTCGTTAGCATTACGGCAGCTCAATTGTATTAGGTGGTTCCAGTTCGCGCCGTTTCTTATATGCATCCTCAAATCATTCAGAATAAAGGTAGACAAACACTTTAACAAGCGTTCTAAGCAGAATTTCTTTCTCTTTCCAGCAGTAATATTTTTGTTCGGATTTCCTTGATGTTCGCTTGGAAAATCGTTAGAATCTTCAACCCATAGTTTTTACCTACCCTAAGTTTTGCCATTTTTTTTTGAATTTTTGTTCTGGAGTTTTGGAAATGCTTCAATAACAGTTGGATGGAATAAGCAAAATGCTGCAAAATCCAATTTTTTGGCATCGAAGCTGGCTTTTCAGTGTTTTTAATAACAAGTTTTCCAAAAGTCTTCACATTTGCGAATTCGTGAAATACACAAACGCTTCAAAAACTATGAAATCTTCGCAAATTAGAACTTCCAAAAATCGATTATGATTGAGCACTAATTTCAAAAGACAAATGAGTTTCTACTACCTCGAAATACTGATTGTTAAAATTTTCGGTCGCAGCCTGGGACGCATCACAAAACTAGAAATACGGCAATTTCTTCCTCGAAGAAACTACGAATCAGAAAAGAAAAACGTCTATCAAGAACAGAAGAAGAAGCTGCATCGAATGACAACCTAGCCGTCTGATGTTCCGCGAGGATTTGGATGTCTAATGGAAATCGATAGCATCGTTAAAATATTTTTCAAAATCTTGGAAAGTCAGCCTGCGATGCCAAAAAGTTTTATTACATTGCATTTTGTTTACTCTATCTAACTGTTATCAAAGTATTTCCAAAAGTCCAGAACAAAATTAAAAAATGGCAAAACTCAGGGTAGGTGAAAACTATGTGTTGAAGATTCCGACGATTTTCCAAGCGGACATCAAGGAAATCCGAACAAAAATATTACTGCTGGAAAGAGAAAGAAATTCTGCATAGAACGCTTTCTAAAATCAGAGTGTTTGTCTACCTTTATTCTGAATGATTTGAGGATGCGTCTAAAAAACGGCATGAACTGGACCCACCTAATACAATTGAGCCGCCATAATGCTAACGAATTCGTGCTGAAAAATTACGGTTTCATATGCATGTCATAAGCATGTCTCTGCAGGCTATACCGATCGTTCAAAATCTCATCGAGCAATATGTGATAAGGAGATGACCTTTGTTAAGTTCTATCCCTTAGGCCCGTATGCACGTACATCCCCGCTGGGGAGGGGAGGGGAGCTGGATCCCCAGGGGAACGATCCCCTCCGCCGAACCCCGCCATGACAGAGGGGAGGGGAGCGATCCCCTCCCCTGCACCTAAGCGGGGATGGTGTGAATGGTTTCAGAGGTATTGATCGAGCGAACCCCAGTGCATACGGGGTTCGAATGGGGAAGGGGATCCCTTCCCTTCCCCCACTCGAACCCCGTATGCGCGAATTCAACTCAATAACGCGGGGGAGGGGATCGACATCCCCTGCAACGAAGTAGGGGTTCGATGGTGTAGATCATGCCAGAGACGCGGATATTCTGGTTCTGCTCAGTCATTACCAAGCATTTCGTTCATTTTGATGGAGGATTTTCTTTGGAAGCCGGGTTCTTCTCTCAGCGACATGTGGCTTGCAATTTGTCTTTCTTTTCTATATTCGCCTCTTGAGAAGAAATCCGAGCAACAACAGCTGCCAATTTCGATTATTTGTAGGAGTTCTTGATCATTCAGGAAATTTGCGCATTTTTCATATAACATAATAGTTTTAACTATATAGGCTGAGTAAACACATTGTAACTTTCATATTCCATGACATGTTGCCATTATCTTGTTATTTTAACATAAGCTGCCTCGAAAAAATCTAGAAAGTAGCATATTTGCCTATTTCTGAGTAGAAATCCCCTGGGGAGTAATCCCCTCCCCAGCGTTCCCCTTGTGCATAGCAGGGATGGCTGCTGGGGATCATTCCCCTGGGATAAAGGACGATATGCAGCTGATAGCTACAGCGTTTATGGAGAGCTGGCACAATTTGCAGCTTCTGTTATGTGTTAGAATACTGCTTTGAGCGTCCGCGCGGCACCCCCTCCCCTTTTCGGCAGCATAACGTCTTCTACCCATTCCCTTGCAGAGACACATCAACTTCTATAGTTCAACGTTTTTACGCTGAAATGGAGCAGCATGAGCGAAAGTGGGCAGCATCCAAGAAAGCAGGAACATAATGGGAGTAGAAAAAATCATTTTTAGTGCCCCGAGCGCAGTCACTGCATACGCGCATTCCGCAACCCTAAATTAATGAAAGCGAGGAGATGAAAATGGGTTGCAGTCAAAATATGAAATAAGAAAGAGTTTTTCATAGAAAATTTGAAAGCAAGGTGGTTTCCCCGCTTGATCCCCTCTTGTGCATAAGGGGGTTCACTTCCCCTCCCCACAGGGGATCCCTTGTCCGATATTGTCTTTGTGCATACGGGGGTTCGCGCGGGGAGGGGAGGGGATCCCCAGCGGGGATCATTTCAATGGTTAAGCGCACATCCCCTCCCCGCGGGGATGTACGTGCATACGGGCCTTAGTCACATCAGCGACAGTGAAAATAGCAAGAATGTAATTTTACAGCCTGTAGAAAAGCTAGCAATACAATCTTGCAGATTGTAGAAAGGGAGGAAAGCAGAAAAGTTCTGGATTGAAATTGGGAATTGCAAAACAGGATGTCTTACCCTATTACACCATTGACTCTACATTAAAATCCTCATTCGAGGGTTGCTCTTCTTGTCTAAAAGATCTTCTTGGCTCATACACAAAGCGTAAGCGCACAAAAATAAAATATCATGTAAATCGTTGAGCTTGCTAATAAACGGCACGTAGCTCAAATTGGACACTGTTACAGTTTTAAACTTAAAAATGATTGCCAGTTTCTGATTTGGGTCATTTGCGTTTTTCGTCGTCAGTTTCCCTTAGCAGCTTGTTTGTCTGGAAATTTGCTTTGATAGAATAAGAAAAAAGAAATTCTAGCAGCCAAATCCCATGTAATGAAGAGTCAGGCATTCACTTTTTTCTTTCCTGCTTTTGTGATTTCATTCTGTGTGACATCGTGGTTTGCATTTCTTATTCCGTTATTATACTTCGATATCAGTGCTGTTTGCTTCCTGTAATTTCGTTTTAATTTTAGAGCTTCCTTCATGCTGGTATGCTCTCACTTCTTTCCCTGATTATAGCATCAGGAACAGTGTTACGAGCAGACACCGAGGTGAATGCTGTTCCACAGTCTTCTTGTTTTGAAGAATGTTTACCATTTACAGCAGTGGGAGCCTACAACATACCCTGATCCGAGAACAAACGCTACACAGTGCAATACATTTGATAATTCTACTTTATGCGATCCCGATCGGATTCTTACCGACACTTGGCGGCAGACAATTCACGATAATATTGTGGCTCAAACCAACAGTAGGCTATTCCATAATTTTCTGGAACGAAAACAACACAGAGTTATCAATCACAAATGATCATGTAGTGCTGAGGAAAATCAGGAAAATGGCAGCACCTCTGGCGAAAATGATTAACGATACAGATGTTTTCATGTGGCGATCGAGTTTCACTCACTTTCAGGGTTACAGAACATCGATATCAAATACACGGACAATGCTTCGGCAGAATGTCATGACGGTTCGTCGAATGGAGCGCGAATATTTGTGATTTTGGCAAGGAGGATAAACACGACATCGAGTCAGAATATCAGCAGCAATGACCTGGTAATGATTTTCAATAAATTGAAGGCAGTACTCAAACAAATGGCCCTGTTTCGTGCGGATATTAATTTTGCTCGCCATTGTTCAAGAGCAGTTCATATGATCTATTCATGGCCATAAAATGCAACTACAACCCAGATCGTACTGCCTCCTCGCGGGCCAATCAGCGCCTTCGAACACTGTAGCAAGTACGGTCTGGAATTAAGTTCGCAGTCGAATTTTTCGGTCACATATGCGCTTATGCCTGAATAGTTACATGGCTAAAGCCTCCAAGTCATTTACATAAGAAACTCAAGTACCGGCATTTGCTTGAATACTGCCCTCAACTGTCTGTAATTTTGTTTTTCTATAACATCTATTTCAGACAGCTTTCGGTCATGGTTTACGAGAAGCGTTTGGTCTTGATGCTGAGCCATGCAGAAACTACGTTCTTGTTCTTGGTGTTGAACTTGCAAAAGAGATCTATGTTTGGGTCAGGGTTCTTTAGCTGTTTCTATATCTGGTTGTTTCTGATTGTTTTCTTTATCAAACAGACTGGCTCCGATTTGGCTCTGCCCAAGGATCGAATGGAAACATCACTCGAACAGTACAAGAATTTGTTTTTGGAGAGGAATTACATGGAGGGTTTGAATACAATCATCGATGAGATTGGCAATGTTCTCGCTGATCCATTCAAGGTTTTATTTATCAAATTTTGAAACAAAAAACCACTTCCTCACCTATTGAGCTCATGGCCAATCTTCAAGGATTTTTACTTCATTTACTTCTTTCAAAACGGCTTTTTTGGGGGGGGGATTTTGTTGTTGCAAAGCAGTTTATTTCTGAACAATTTGAAAACGACTAAATTTGCCACAAATCTCTAGGGAACATCAACAGTTGACAGCGTACTCGATGGAGCCTCTAATGTCACTTCAGTACCTGAAGACACAACGACCTCGTCGCAGTTGGCATCAACCCCGATGTAAGTTCGCAAAATATTCGTTAGAATCTTCAAACATGGTGGGTTCATATTGTTTCGTCCCTACTATCTATAGAATTTTTTAGTTGGATCTACATCATCCTCTTCGTATCCATTGCCATCTCTATCATATCTTTACTTATTCTAAGTGTACTTCTATGTAAGTGGAAGAAACGTCGCGACACAACGTATCCGATCAAAAATGAGAAGTCACCCTATATGTGAGTTGTCTATGAATAAACTGTAGGGGCTTCTGTTTTTTATAACTCGTTTCCCCGTATTCAAATCTTGCTCGCGTAACATAAAGAAGGTACCAAAAGGTTTGAAGAAAAATAAAGGTATTATCATATTAAAATGATTACGCAAATGTAAGGCAAAGAAAAACGTACGAATGCCTTAGTTGATATGTACTGTTATGGTGACATTTAACATTTGAATATTTCCTTTCCCGCCATTATGTTCTTAAAATGACACTGGTCCACATGCACATCGGTGGCTATCCCATTTACGCAGAATGAAAGACTTATTATATAAAGTTTGGTATATGGTCTTGAAAAGACTTTTACCATCCCATCCATTACATCCCATCCATCAGCTAATGAATCAATCATGTATAGAACATACTTTATTCAATAATAATTACCTTATGCCTTAGTTTCATGTATTGCACTTCATTTCCATACAATCTTACATATTATACCTTTCATACCTTTCATACATATCATGAAGAGGTTTAAGACTGTTTCGCACCACATTATCTGGAAAACTAGTGAAGAGGCTAGACAAATTTGCGGAACTCTAGTTTCCTATTACTACCACTAAGGTCATTAGCAACCTATCTACTGTTTTCGTAGCTCAAAAATAATTAATATTAGTTCTAAGGCTATTAACCTTGCAATAGCTATGAAAATGTCCACGAAAGTGTGAGCAATTTACTATGCTTGAGGAAACCCAATGCTTACCATCGAACAGCTAGTTCAAGCATCATCAGCCCTGCAAAATCCGTCCAAGAGCTGGGAAATATTTCTGAAACGAGCTCTGAAAATGGATACACGAATGAGGCACAGTCACCACGTATTTTAAGACAACGAAGAGGGTCGGTGTTCTTTTCTTGCCATGCTACTTGAAATAATTAATATTTCAGCTCTCTGAGTGCCGTTTCATTACCACGTACTGTTTCTATAAACGGGTCGGATCGTAACGCGTATATCTACAGTATCGACTTATCCGATGAGGATGAGATGAGAATGAAATCTGATGAGGATGAGGTGAGAATGAATGACAAGGAAATGTTCGGTTGCTTCTTTGCATACGTTTTTCAAAGTTCTACTCACCTTGGTTAGATACGAACAGCTCCACTAAATCCCAACTGTGGGCGAGCACTTCAAATTTCTTTTGCAAGCTTTTGAATACTGCCTTTATCTTATACATAAAGTTGAATATCTGTTTGTCCGTATGTACGTATGTGCGGAATAGAAATTTTAATTTTTGGACCGATTCGGACCAAACTTGGCACACGTATACTTCGAGACGGGAAGCGTGGTAGACTACCCTTTTCTTTATTGATCAATGTCGGCATTATCGATTTTTCGCGATTTTTCAGCTATGAGACTGGGAGTTGGGGGGGGGGTACGAGCATGCTGATTACGATAATATTATTGACAAGGCCGGAAGGAGCAAGATTTGCCAGCTACATAGTTCCCTAAATTTCCGTATATGATGTCTAAAGAATCTCAATAGTATAGTAATGTACTCTCAACTGCATTTATTTTTATGAATTTGTACTCTCTGGAGCTCAGCAATCAGCATTCCTCCTATGATAAATCCAGAATAGCTGAAAAATGCAATAAAGAAACCCTCTATAAAACGACTTATATTAGTCGCGAAAGTTTTGCCTGCTTTTCAAACGGCTTTAAAGTGTATATGTAAACCTAAATGTTTTGAAGCATTTCGATGCAGCATTTTCTTTTTCTGAGTGTTACATTTTTAGGCCACATGCTGCTGTACGCTTTTCGATGATTATCAAACTTTACACCGGCGCCTTTCATTTTTATGCGTAAAGCATAATATTAGGTCGTCCCAAAAGTTTGTTCGCACCATATTCAAAAATTCATAACTTCAATTTTTTCCAATCAATTGAAATGCTTTTATTTTTTCATGAAAGAGTAAGCCATGCACTTTGCAAAGACATCTTATCTGCTTACTAGTGATCATCTGTTGCATAGATATGAGCTATAGAATAAAATTAGTCAAAATTCGAATTCTGGTAGGGTCATAAAAAATCGGAGACTTGCAACAAAAATCAGAGCAGTCGGTGTAATAGGTTCTGTTACCTGCTCTTTTTGACTGTGCAAAGATTTTGCTGGGACGCCTCTATCAAATGTTATGCTTTTCGAGAAAAATGCCATTCTGTATCGTTGTTCGAAAATCACAACTTTTCATGGAGATGTTCAATCAGCACAAACTTTGAACAGTTAGAAAGAGCAGGTAACAGAACCTAAAATACCGACTGCTCCGATTTTTGTTGCAAGTTTCCGATTTTTTATGACCCTGCACAGAAAACTCGAATCTTAACTTATTTTATTCTATAGCTCACATCTATGCAACAGATGATCACCAGTAAGCAGATAAGATGTCGTTGTAAAGTGCATGACTTACTCTTCCACGAAAAAAAATCAAAGCAGTCAAATCGGTTGGAAAAATTAGAAGTTATGAATTTTTGACGACAGCTTCATAAACGCTTACAAACCTCCTATGAATCTAAGCTCAAATGCTGTCAAACACCATTTATACAAAATAAACAAGTTTAGTTTGCTTTGAAGAATCCCTTTTTTGGTGATATCAGCACGCCTATGCGTTACACGTGCACAAAAGAATAGGGATTTTTCCTCAAACAAATATTACAGATTTCGAGAACTTGGTCCAGGTAATATAAAATGAGCAAAATGTAAGCAAAGTTTACTCCGCATCATGTATGCCAGCGCTGTTTCGAAATGCTAGTATGAATTATTTCAAAGTCTAAAGAACCCTTGCCGTCACTGTTAGAGTGCTCAGACATCCATGCGATAATATCGCAAAATCAGCATAGATCAGAGGAAAAGAACGTAGCTATCAGAAAGGGAACAAACTGGATCGAATGTTACCTAAGTCGTTTTCGGGCAGTCTACTATGAGTTTTAGTGACCGATCCAAAAGTGGACGAGATTTTCTTGACAGCCTTTCGGGACGGTTAATTAAAGTCGCCACACAGTAACTCTTCTTTGCTTTCGGGTAAATAGATTCTTTATTAATATAGCTGGCTTTCCCAGTCCAGCCCGGATCATTGCCCAAGGGAAGTGGATGTTTTACTTCGCCAGCAAGATTACTGCACTGTGAGAACCCCATTATCGTCTTCGGGAGAATCCCACTTTGACCTATCGCATCTTCGTGATCCTGAGATTGAAATGAGCTAAACGCGCCTGTTTTATCTGCGAAAGTCTTGATTAAAAATGATAGGCTTCCATTTTTCTAGAAATACGTGAAAAATCAATAAACCAGTAAAATGGCAAAACGAATCGCCGAAAAAGGTAGCCTATAATCTGCGGAGGGCTTGAAGACATATGTGTGCAAAGTTTCAGCTCAATTGGGCGAGTGGCACCCTTTTCTATGACGCACATACCCTCCAGACTGACAATTTTTAAGTTTTATAAATACACTAGCTGGCTTACCTGGCTCCGCCCGGCCCCGTCAAAACACTATGATAAAGCTGTCATCTCTATCCCAGTACAACCTTTCCCTGTGCCCCCGCCTACATGCCAATTCGCTATTCCCGCTGTTTTAGTAATCAGCATGCTCGATTACCCCCTGTGCCAACTCCCAGCTCTTAGTTCAAACTTTGCCAAAAAATCGATAAAATCGATAAAAATAGCAGATAATTCCAAAAACTAATTTTGCATTCGCAATCAGCATGCTCGATTACCCCCCTGTGCCAACTCCCAGCCCCGTAGGTCGAACCTCGCAAAAGAAAATCGTAAAATCGATATTGATCGATAACAAAAAGTAGCCTACGACACCCGCCCCGCCCCGAGGTGTACGTGTGCCAAGTTTGGTCCGCATCGGTTCAGAAATAAAATTTCCTATTCGGAACATACGTACACGCATACATCGACAGACAGACATACAAACAGACATTCATTTGTATATAAGAAAATAAACTTGGAAGAAGAAGATTCGGAAGTGTTGGACAATTCAAAACTATGATAATCTATATACTAGTCAAAGAAGCAAGATAGCCGTGATGTATCAGGTTGGCACATAACTAATGCAAGTTTTTATATATTTTTTGCCTTTCAAACGTAGCGCATTCATTTTCTGGAAATATTAGGTCGTTTCTAAGTTCGTCAACTTTTTATTTTTGTCGTCGTTTTTCGATGAAGCGGTTGGTTTACGGCAAAATACCTACACCAATGAAAAGAGAAAATTTTGCTCTACAAGAACTGTTGTTCGTTTTTGGAGCAAACTTGAATCCCCTTCTTTTACGACTTATCAAAGCAAAATTTTTTGAGAGGCAAAAATTGGCGATTGCGGCAACTGCACTTTCCGCATTTGGTCCATATTCCGCAAGATGTTTCTGTCATAGGTAGGCGGGATGGATAGTAGCAAGCAAGACTGAAACACTGACAAATTTGCAGCATGCCAATATGCATAGAACCGTTTGAACAAGGTCCCAATGGTTTTGTTGTCTTTGACTGCTGCCGCTTGAGTTTGGCGCGTTGTTCAGCGACACAATGTGTCGGTCCTCCTATCGGAACTTGAGGAATGGATGCGTTCTTCTAAGTGGTGTAGATGTATGAGTACAAGCTCTGACCAACATTTTACGCTTTCTCAAAAAAAATTTTTGACGTGGGAACTTTTTAAAATTGTGCCAAACGCAAAACATCTACACACATGGTAAACGTGCGCTTAATCTTTCTTTATAGCCTCTCTTTGGATATGGAGACTACTTTTATATGCACCGTAGTACCACAAACAGTTGTTTCTCATCACTCATAACAACTTCAGACGAAAAATTCCCACTTGTGGCTCCGTATACGGATCGAAAGTTGCAGTTGCCGCAATCGCCAATTTTTGCCTCTCAAAAAATTTTGCTTTGATAAGTCGTAAAAGAAGGGGATTCAAGTTTGCTCCAAAAACGAACAACAGTTCTTATAGAGCAAGATTTTCTCTTTTTAATGGTATAGGTACTTTGCCGTAAACGAACCGCTTCATCGAAAAACGGCGACAAAAATAAAAAGTCTACGAACTTATGAAACGACCTAATATAAGGATCATGATGCTGACTGCAAATGCAGACATTCTTGCCCAATTTTTCCACTTTATGTAAGGGTTACGGTAGGTTTACGGTATAATAGAAAAAATTTTAGATTGCTTCAGATTTCGCTGAAACTTGGCCTATGAACGTTATTCAAGATCCGTTTCGCATGAAAAGGCCTCTTTCATGGGATCAAAATATGAATTCGTCTTAGCGGTGAATTTGGTATTCGTGTTCACCGTATTGGATTACCCTACTATGCGAGTTTTGGCGAATTTTGAGGTTTCGCAGCTTTTATATCTTAAAGGCGCCTTATCTCAACTTGCCTTTGAATTTCCCTTCTTTTTTACTGATTTTAATGTGTCAACTTCTAGCTGCATGCCGCCTGTAATTCCTTTTTGATATGTTTAATTTAGGTTTTGTACGGCTGCATGTTTGCCAAAAAAGCGTGAACATCAATTTGCAAGAGTTTTCGGAAAATGCTTGAATTTTTATTTTACATTATCATAAATTAAACGGTTTGCGCAGATTTGCAGCTTATGTCACGCTCTACATGATATCAGAGAATGAGAGTGCTACATTGAGTAAAATAAATTACTGAGGTTGCAAAACTTATGTGCCAACCTAGTAGATAAGCTCTATGAGTTAATTTACAGCCTGGATTATCTATTTTTCACATGAAATCAATGCCACATTTTCCAAAGCGGGAAGCCAAACCATGAAAATTTCCATTTGGCATCTGACCTTCTTATTGCTTCAGGAAAGTCTCTTACTATCTTTCATCAAATTGCTACGGTCCGTTGGGTTTCGGCAGTGCTTCATCTCCAAGTAAATTCTGCTCTTGAATTGTTATCGAGATGAAAGCGTCAATGTGCTAAGTAGATCATAACATCTTTGAAACGTCTCAATTATTTACGGACCTGATTTTTGGCTGAGTACAAAATGGTCTGAAAATGCTTGTCATAAAGGTTATTTATTTATTTATTGAAATGTATTTGAGTAACACGTGAGGTAGAAAATAACAAAATGTGACCCCTGAGTGATACAACTCTGCTGTAAACAAACCGTGAAAGTAAGATGGAAAGCACGGACAAATAGTGACAGATAAATACAATTAGCAATAGTAATAGCATGATTATACTTTTATAAAATACTAGCTGGCTTACCCGGCTCCGCCGTATCCGGACCAAACTTGGCACACATACACTTCGGGCCCCGGCGCGTGTCACAGTCCACTTTTCGTTATCGATCGATGTCGATCTTACCGATTTTTATCGATTTTTTCGCAGAGTTCACCTACAGGGCTAGGAGTTGGCACAGGGGGGAAGTGAGCATGGGGATTCCGAATACAATATTAGTTTTCAGAATTATCGATTGCTTTTGTTGATTTTATCGATTTTTTGGCAGAGTTCACCTACAGGGCTAGGAGTTGGCACAGGGGGGAAGTGAGCATGGGGATTCCGAATACAATATTAGTTTTCAGGATCGTCCATTACTTTTATCGATTTTATCGATTTTTTGCAAAGTTTGACCTGCGGGGCTGGGAGTTTGCACAGAGGGTAATCGAGCATGCAGATTACGAATACAATATTAGTTTTCAAGATCGTCCATTACTTTTATCGATTTTATCGATTTTTTGAAAATTTGAGCTAGGGGGCTGGAATTTGGCACAGGGGTGTTCGAGCATGCTGATCACCCCCCTTGGGGATGATCAGCATGCTCGATTACCCCCCTGTGCGAACTCCCAGCCCCGTAGCTCAAACTTTGCAAAAAAATCGATGAAATCGATAAAAGTAATCGATAATCCTGAAAACCAATATTGTATTCGGAATCCCCATGCTCGACTACCCCCCTGTGCCAACTCCCAGCCCCGTAGCTCAAACTTTGCAAAAAAATCGATAAAATCGATAAAAGTAATCGATAATCCTGAAAACCAATATTGTATTCGGAATCCCCATGCTCGATTACCCCCCTGCGCCAACTCCCAGCCCCGTAGGTGAACTCAGCAAAAAAATCGATAAAAATCGATAAAATCGATATCGATCGATGACGAAAAGTAGCCTATGACACCCGCCGGGGCCCGTAGTGTATGTGTGCCAAGTTTGGTCCGGATCGGTTCAGAAATGGAATTTTCTATTCGGAACATACGTACACACAGACAGACAGACATACAGACAGACAGACATACATACAAACAGACATTCAGCTTTATATATTAGGTTGTGTAATAAGTTCGTTCGCATTTTTGTTTTGATTTTTTTCTCAATATTTTGCAAAGCATTTGACGTATTGTTAGTATGCGTTCGGAAGCTCTAAGTTTGCTCTACCAAAACACTATCATTATATTCCCAGTTTTCGTAAGGTTGAATAAGAAATTCGACTACAAACCGAAAAATCTGAAGTGGCAAAAAACCCATTTTCGACATCTTTTTTCTTCCTTAGTTTTCCCGTTATTCATTGTTAATATTTATTCAAAAAGCTTGACAACGAAGAAAAACAACTGACTAACAGTTTATGCATTTACTGATACTATTTACGATTGCCTATTCCCTTTCACCGACCGTTTAATGCAATTTTTGCAAAACTCGGCGTAGCAAGGCTTTGCTGCAGCGATGTTCGCTGTCTTGCGTTCGTGGGCCATGTGTCCCTCGAATTCTGAATTTTTCACTATACAAGCCATTTATTCGATGATTTAGCGATCATAGACCCACATGTCTGCCAATTCCTGGATTATTCGGCTACCACCTTTCTTCGGAAGTGCCTTCAGATGCTTAACGTTGACACCAAAAAGACATAAAAACATATCATTTTTGAGCTTACAATATGAATTGTTTTCGAAAGGTTTTAGCACTACAGGTAATCTGCGGGAGCTATAGTATTCTATTTATACATGTCGCAAAATTTTTGAGCTGTTTCTTAAGCGCTCAAACCCATTCAAGGTGCGGCATAACATAGTTGTCGAAAATGGGATTTTCGCCATTTCAGATTTTTCGGTTTGTAGTCGATTTTTTTATTCAACTTGTTTGAAAGTGGGAATATAATGATAGTATTTTGGTAGAGTAGACTTAGAGCTTTCGAATGCATACTAACACTATGCCAAATGTTTCGTAAAATACTGAGAAAAAATTGAAACAAAAAATGCGGACGAACTTATTACACAACCTAATATAAGATCAAAGGCCCAAGAATCCATGTCAAATGCCATGTTTTGATTACTTAAACATGTGGTAGAAAGGACAAAGAAAGTGCTAAATAGCGTTCAAAAAGTCTTCCGATATATTCACCATAATTTTTGGGAACCAACAATCTAAATAGGAACCTTTTTACTTTCACATCAACCTGGTACAATTTGAAGGCGTTTTAATATGTCTATTGACATTGCAATGATTTTGAGTCAGTGTTTTTCCGAATATGTAACCGATGAAGTACTGTAGCAGCACAGTTTGCTTCCACTATCTTCAACTCTTTCAGACTAGAAAGGAATCTCATCAAATGGCAGCTGATTCATCACTTTCTTCTTCCAACTACAGTGAGTCAATCAGTCACACTGGGAAGCCCCTAAAGGTGCGTGATTTGTTTGTGTTTTCTGTTAAATACGGTTGAGAAGTGCACGGAGAGGTTATATATTGTGTTGTCCAGAAAATGCTGCCAGTAGTCGAGCTAGTTTCTTTTTATTTATATCTTCATCGAAAATGACTGTCAATCAGCGATGTTCTTGTTATGTGTACTGGTAACCTTGTAGTAGGTTGTTCAGAAAATATGCTGCACTACATCACAACCAGAATAGACGCAAAAGAGGCGGGTAGAGACCATTTGTTAGAGCAAAGCAAGCTTTACAAGGTGGAATACAATTATCCACGATAACTTTCAATCCACCTATAGCTTGACAAAATATAAACTCGAAAAAGTTTCTTCATCCATAAAAGTTTCGGGAGCCTCCAATTTGCACGGGTACTCTTTACGTTAGACACTCACTTGTACAGCTTGTGGATTTTCCACGCCTAGAATATGAAAAAGAGCCCAAAAGTGCGAATATGTCACGTTTTCCGGTTTCTTGTGATAAGTTTGATTTTTGACACTAAACCCTGTACATAGATGAAGTTTCATGACTATACTTCCAACGGTTCATGCTGTGGAAATACCTATCTGGGAGGAGCTCAACTTCGCTCTGGCCAAACCATGCCGGATTTTGTTTTCTCGAGTTCTAGCCTTGAAAAGTCAAGTAAATGTGCATACGAGTGCTTGATATAGAGAGCAAACTAGGGGCTCCTAGAATTGTATAAAACGACGCTACGATCTATCGTTTTCAAGCACCCAAAACTTACATTTAGCTTCAATCTATAGATTGAATACATGGGAAGGAGTATTCATTTTTTATTTCATGTATACATGTAAAACACATTTGTTGCAAATAACTCCTTCACCTTGTAGAGTACGCTTTGCTCTAACGAACAGTATCTCTTTAACTTTCACTCGTTTTGACCATGTGGGGGATATTTCGTAATAGCCGATGATGCGACATTATTTTCCGAAAAAGCTAACACATTTGGTTAGGTATATCTGAATACTCCTTTCCAAGAAGTGCGCTTTTGAAAAAACCACCATTTCGAATCTAAGATAAGGCGGTAACTTTGCTTGTAAGGGAACGATACTTAGTGTCCTTGGCCGTTTGAGAGAAATGTATACCGTAACACTCGTCTTCGATCGTGATTATTTCTTTGAAACAAGTTATAAAGCATTTTCGCGCCAAATTTGGCCGCGCGAGGCAAATACGGAAGAAACGTCGACATGGTAACATGCTATTATGCATTCATTTTCCGTTGATTTTCATCTTTATAGGCAGCTTTTGGAATAAATTTCGGAAACACACAAAAATGACTCCTGGTTAAAATTCAAAGAGTAATTACATGCATTTACCTCGAGAAAACTAACTCTCAAAACGACGTCTAATTGAGGCAATGCAAAACTGAGAAATACGAAAGGATATAGAGCTACTGTTTCAACTTGTGAGGCTCTCGCACTAGCCGTTAAACCGCAGCTATCAAGCGATATTGGTGTTCCCACATATCTCGTGCGGCCAAATTTGGCTCGGAAATCCTTCATAACTTCTTTCGGTGAAACGAGCAGAAACGGAAGTCAGATTCGTAATCAGCGTTCGAAGACAAGCGTAATGGTATACATTTCATTTGAAAAGACCACGGCCACTGAGTATTGTTCCCTTGTTAGAAAAAGAAACCCCGGTCACCTAAGCAATAGTTGTAATAGTTGGATGTCGCTATATTTGACAAATATTAGGTTGGTGCATAATTTCTGCATCAAAATAGGTATAGACCGCAATAATCCGGGCTTAAAGTTTTGCAGCAGCTTTGATCCAAGCGAAGAATGAAGCCAAAAACCAAAAAGATCCAAGCGCCCCAAAAAACCAAGAAAAAAATTGGAACTCCGTTCAAAAAAATCCTTCAAAATTTCTAACTTGCTCATGCATTGTCATTTCGTATAGGACATTTTCTATGCAGTTGTTGTATTTTTTTCACAGCTAGAAATTGAGAAAACGAAGTTTTTCATGTTTTTTCCAAAACGAGATGTTCTAGCACTGACAGTTGCATACTATAGGACCTTAGAAGCGTGAGCGTGTATTTTCAGCTCTTTAAAGCAGCTGGTTTACGAGAGATATCGAGTTTTTAGCAAGGGTTAGGCCAGACTTCGCGGCGTACGTAGAAAATGCAGTTTATGTCCATGCATGACACACTGCCGACATTTGCTCCAGCACCTTGATAAGGTTTTGTAACTTGCAAGAACAGCTCATCTTATCGCGCCGATGTAAGCGTCAGCCGAATCCAGCACAGATGTGCTGAAGACTAAGCTTTGTTTTTGGGACAAGTAGCAAAAGGGAAATTGTAAGAACATGCTAAACATGCAATTTGACACCAACATGCTCACCTGCTAAATCATTAGGTTGGAACAAAACAGGCATGCTCCAACGTGTTCTTTCTCACAAGAAATCCCAAATGATGCAAAAATAAGTAATTGACTTGTTTAGACTGCACAGCTGATCATATAAGAACAAGTTTGAACCATCACATATGCAATGTTTCCCCGATCGAAAACTTCTAAGTTGTAGTACACGAATTTAAGATGTGATGGTGTCCAGACCGTCCCAACTGAGCAGGAAATGGTTAACCCGTCAGAACTTAACTCAGCCGTACCAAGCAAGCCGTACATCATCGAACTCGCCATGAAACGCTGACCACAAATATATGTTTGTTATCTGCCAAGCGACCATCTAGGAGGAGTTACGAGGTTCAAATGGGCGATTGTCAAGTGTTCGGTGGCGCATGTTCTACGAAATAGGTTTCAAAAACACTTATTTAAGTTTTTGGCAAATGTGCTTTCCTTGTAATTAGAATACCCATAGCCATTGTGAATCCGCGCAATCAAACTGCCTTTCAGGGAGCTATATTCATCGAAACTCGAATAATTTCTCATATTTGAACGCACAAACTCCCCCAGATAGTCGCTTGGCAGAGAAAAAACTTATATTTGAAACCAGCTCTAGACGAGTCTGATGACATACAGCTTGTTTGGAATGGCTTAAGTTCTAACCATTTCCTCGTGAGTTGGTTTGGAGCATAAAATGATCTCTAAATTGAACCACTCAAGCGCTTAAGATCTATCATTTAGTGAAGTGGGGCAAACCAAAACATTGCCTCTCCTCTTTTGGGTCGTGATTAAATTTCAATCGATGTAAATATCGCGCTCCATTTTACGAATATAGGATTTGCTGTAGCAGTTGGGAAAGGATGAGCATTGCTATAAGTATTTTTGAAATCTTGTAAGCTAGAACAATGCTTGATTTTTTTCTAGCTGAAATTTTGTGCATTTTTCTTGTCAATAACATTACACAGGCGTTTTTATCTGCACAATGTACAAGCCAATCCGTGCTTGCAGCCTGCCGAAATAGTGTTTACTTTGCTTCGATAATACTTTCTTTTTTGACAAACGGAACAGATAATCTCCAACGAAGGTACCCATTTCTTTGCAAAGAAACTTGCAAATCTGCAGACTCTTGCGCTTCTCGCATCTTTTCGATTTCTTAGTTAAAAGATACCTTACCTTCTAGTAGGTTAAAATGTAAGCCAATGTTATGCAAATGTCTAGGCGTTCTTAGCCAGTGTCATTTCGTGATAGTGGAATCAAGAAGTTTTTGTGAGCATGTAAAACTAAAATAGACACTCTTGAATACCTCTCTTGGAAAATACCTTATTCTCTTTCAGTCTCACATAAGCAGACTAGTGCTCCATCATTACACTACGATCCTTGAGAAGGCATGTGATTTGCGGACAAAAGACTAAAATTAAGAACGCAGTCTAGACATTTTCATAACTGCGTAAATTTAGCAAAATAGTAGTATCACTCTGCCCTTAAGCACAGCTTTTATAACTTTTGTTAACTTTCGAGCAGAGAAATTGATTAAGTTTTAGCTTTCTCACATTATATAAAGCTATCGGACAAATTTTTCTAAAGATTTGAAGAGCGGCAAGGGTTTAATGCAGTGCCCTTGAGTTTCTGATTGCAAGACTTGACTCCAAACAATCACTTTCAAGTAGTTTGCAAATTAATTGCAACAAATTTAGTGCTTTTTTCAAGCTGTACTAACCACTCATTTGTACATTTTGAGATAGATTTGGAAATAGCATTTCAAGCCTTTTATTATAGAATATGCACCGTACCTAAACGCCTTCTCAGCGAAATAATCTTCAGTTGTTAGTACAGGGTGTACCACAAGTCTTTGAGTCTGAATGTGAGTCTTGTAGAGCTGGCTTCACGCTAATAATGCAAAGTCGGTCAATATTCTTTGTTTATTATCGCAGGATTGAGATTCAGATACATGATAGTGCTCTGCCACTGAGAAAAAAAAATTTCCGGGTAAAAAGCCGGGAAGCTGAAAACTGTATCAAGCCAGTCTGAGTCACTAATTCTAGCTGTAAGCTCTGCATTCTATGCTGAATTAAAAGTTATTTCGGGTACACCATAATTGCTGTTTTTTATGCTCTTAAAAACTTGATTGCTATTAGGTTGTAACATAAGTCTTGAGACACTCTTACTTCTTACGGCAATAAGTCATGCAATTCACATTTTCAATAGGATGCCAGGGAATCATTCGATAGAGCAAAGCAAGCTCTACAAGTTTGTATGTAAAAGTCCGCATCAGCTTCGACCCACTGTAAGTTTGCATCTAAAATGTGAGTTGCACTGGAGGCTCAAAAATAGCGAAAAATTCATATCTTCGTTCAATAAAATCCTACGGATCTCCAACTTGCTCATAAAAATTGCTCACTACCTCAAACACTCACATGTACCGTTCCTCAATCTTTTCCTCCTTTAGAAATTGAGAAAACGAAAATTTTCAAGTTTTCACAAAAACGAAGCTAAGCTGTTTTCAATCATGTAATTGTATACTACAATTCCTTAGGAGTGTAACCGTAATTTTTCAGCTTTCCATAAGCCCTAGTTTTCGAGAAATATTGATTTTATTATGAAACACCCGAGTGAGGAGAGCTGAATTCGGTAATTTTCGAGAACTAGGACTTGTGGAAAGCTGAAAATTCACGGTTATACTCCTAAGGGCTTGTACTATAAAACTGCATGATTGGAAACAGCTTAGCTTCGTTTTTATGAAAACTTGAAAATTTTCGTTTTCTCATTTCTTTATGAAGAAAAAATTCAGGAATGGTACATGTGAGTGTCTGAGGTAGCGAGCAATTTTTGTGAACAAGTTGGAAATCAGTAGGATTTTATTGAACGAAAATATGAATTTTTTTCGCGAGTTTCTGAGTCTCCAGTGCGACTCACAATTTAGATGCAAACTTACAGTGGGTCGAAGCTGGTGCGAACTTTTCCTTACCATCTTGTAGAGCTTTCTTTGCTCTATCGAATGCTACCCTAGATCCCCATTGAAAATGTGAGTTGCATGACTTATCGCCATAAGAATATAGAGTGTCTCAAAACTTATGTTACAACGTAATACATTTTGCCACTTGCTAGATCTCACAGATATGCTTCTCATATCGATGTGCTTTCAATAGCCGGATCAGGAGCCCTTGATTTTTCTTTGTGGTCACTCAAGGAAAGCAAGGCTTGCTCTATGCCGCAGTAGATTTCGGACAGTTCGAAACGCGTGTTTTAGAAGGTGTGAGACAATCTCAACGTCAACCGTCTGCCAGGGGCATGCGTTCGGCAAGCATCCGAGGGCCTGTTTGAGGGCCAAAGAACAGCTTTTAGAAATTTCGTGTACCTTGTTGTTTTGCGAAATTTTCACAAAAAACATGTTGCATTTCACAGGTCTATGTTGTTTCATGCAGTTTCAGCTGAAAAAGTAGGCTTAGAAACACTGCACCTTATAGTACTCAAGCAGAGGCAAACAATATGTCCAAAGCAACGTCCAAAATTCAAAATCCGCAACAGTGTAATGTTGGGTGTTCATGAGATGGATAACCAATGACCACAAAATCGTAACAGTTGCTATGGCTTTTGTAATGAAACAATGACGAGAACACATGGAAACTGAAGAAAACAGCGACGTCAGAATGTGTCGTAGGTCCACGAGCTTTGATATTCCTTTCGAGAAAATAATTGCTATTATATTGTATTGTTGGTAATCCACTATGGTAACACATCATGCTCCGTTATTTTGGGCACTACGGCAAACTACAACATTCTTAAATGCTCAAGGTCAAAGCTACTGGACTGAAATTTTTTCTACTTGGTATCTAACAGACTGCGTGAGCAATATTGTTGCTCATAAATCACGGGCACTCCTGTGCATTAGTGATGTAACGGGTGCTACTATGTATACTACTATTTGATGTGATTCCTTCTGTATTGGCCTTCTTTGAACACCATTCTTATCAACTTTAGAAGTCTGATCAGCTAGCGAGTTCTACTCAATTTGTGTTACTAGCTAGTTACGTTTGTGTTTTTGCGTTCTTTCTTTGTAATGGCGCACCTTGAGCGCATATAATAAATAAATAATTGTGTGTGTAAGACTGTCTTGTCTTTCTACCATGAAACAGAGACAGGGCTTTATTTTTTGTATATCAGAGCTTGGCCTGCTACTTTGACTAATTTAGTGTTTCTCTACCATATTTCTTTGCAGGTTACAGTTTCGCCAGAAGACCTCTACACCGATCAGGTTGCGATACGTTGTGTCAGTGATATACGATTGAAACCGAACAAGCCTCCTGATAACAAATGGGCTTCTTTCTGATTGGAGATTCCGTGCATGCCGCGAAGCCCATCGCCGAATTTGTTGGCTGAGTTAATACATCGTGATGTCGCTATTTTTGTACACTACTGTTGAACGCAAGGGTATATTTTTTGCTTACATTGAGAATAAAACTTTTTCTTTACACATACTTCCTATAATGAAACAAATGTGATGTTGGAATTGAGAATTAGAATGTAATTGCCAAGATGCAAAATTTCACGACAATTTTTGCATCTGTTTTAACACTATCCGGTTTCGGCGCTAGGAACTATACCGGTAGTGCAGTTTCCTTGGTGCCCTCATCAGTAGTTCCCAAAGAAGCTTCAAAAAACGGAAAGAGAGGTAGTCTACAGAATCTTAGCGGAGTGAAAGGCATAAAGTTTAGAAACAAGTCAAGACAAGTCGGCGCATTGAAAGTAAAATCAAAATAACCACGAATGGCACGGCGATTGATTGCAACCTCATATTCGAATGAGTGTCATCCTGCCGTGATCTCAGAGCGCGCTAGTGGCATCCCATGTTCGGCGCAGTTCATGTAAAAGAGGCAAATATATAGTTGTAGCTAATCCGTATTTACGCATTATAAATGGCGTATCGATGAAATGTGGTAAAGTCTACTCATAAAAATGTGATAATCCCATCCATTGTTCTTAGACGTCATGCCTAGTTCTATTATTCTTTCTTTGTTTTGTACTAATCCGAGCAGTTCCTATATATTCTAACTATAACTATATAACTTGATAATAATTCCTATATATTCTGTAGTTCTGTAGCGCAAGTATTGAACAATGTGTATCGTAATATATTAGATCCCCACTGTGGATATCTATCGACTTTGAAATTATACGCATCTGTTTCATTGTACATACTAAACTTGATCTTGCTTTCGCAAACTATCATGTTCAAGTGAAGAAAATTCGTTTCAGTCAAACTGACGTTGGTTTTATCTATCTCTAAAGTTGAAGGATATATCTCTTGTAAACTTCGTTTGAACTGTGACGCATCGTTAGAAACGTGTAATATGTATCATCTATGTAACATCTATGTATCTATATATAAAATTATATAATGTATTGGCATGGATTTGTGTTCTTATTAACCCCTTTATGAATTCGTATTTCATACAAGCTAATGTAAGATCTGCCATTTGAGGGCTGCACGAAGCAACTTGAGGTCCTTTATCTGCCTATAAATATCGCCACCAAAAAATAAGTAGCTAGAATCTAATTGGATCCACTATATATATTATATCTTCAACTTGATAATAATTGCCTTGTGTCATGTCTGAAGTAGCATATGAGACTTTGTTGCCGTGCACCTTTACGTATTTATAACCTCTCATACAAAGGTTTATAATCTTTCTAAGGTTCGTTTTCACGACATCATGTGGCAAGTTAGTGAAAAGACTAGAGAAATCTGCTGAATACATTTCAAGCTGCCATGAGCTGTCGTCAATTCCCTCAGCACCTGCTACTATTTCCAATAGCCCAAAAATGTTTTATCCTTGTTCTTTGCCAAATTACATTGCAGTAATTGTAAAAATGCCTTCTTATATAAGCAAGCATCAGTTGTAGTGTCTTAGCCAGAGGCTTCAACGTACTTCTTTTAGCACCAGTAATGAATCTGAACTTAGTTGGTGTTTCGTGCATTTTTGGAATGCCGTAAATTCTAGGAATTACACTACATTGGTCTGCAAACTTGATGTTTAAACTGTTAAGAATCCTTTTGTGCTTCAACAAAACATCGCTTTCACTTAGTCTAGTTGATATATAAGTATACTCATTCGAAGCCGACTGCTCCATTCCCTTCTTCATCATATGTAAGTAGAATTTCTTGCACGTAAAACTGTAATTTGACGTGGTTGCAACTTTCTATAAGCTCTGCATCATATTCGTCACACTCGATCTGTTCTGGATCATACTTACTGAACAATTTTTAACTTCCTTTTTAATGTGCTCACTTAAATCATTTGTAAGCTGAGTTCTAACAGAAGAGCTAGCTTTGTATTTTCGAACGCACTTATAAGCTAGCTGTGAACTCAAATCATTTATCACTTTCACAATGTCTCCTTTAGTGATTATCATATGTCTCGTACTTTGTTCCTTTTTTGAGAATAGATTTCAGTTTTTCATTCTGTATGAAATTCAAATTCCTGTACAGACATGCCTGTGGTAACTATCAACAAATTCTTTGTAGTTTACACACACACATTCTTGTTCTTCTATGAGCTTCATGGTAGATTCATTGAGTCTTTTGAGGTTATTATAATTGAACATATTCAGACCTACTGGTTTTGCAAATTGTAACGTATTGATACCTTTATACCGTTCAGTTCATCTGCATCTTGCATATTTATCTTATCTATAACTATCCTTTTCATTCTTGTACTGTTGCATAATTTATGAACTTCAAGTTTGTCTGGAATGTCACCAAGTTAGGGTACGGTTACCATCACTTCTTCCTTTTTTATTTCTCGCCATCTTTTCTTTCCCATAAAGGTGTGGCAAGTAATGCATATATCTTATATTTATGCTCAAAGAATAACATTGTGAAATTGGGACTGAATGTGTAAACTACTCAGATAATCGCCGGGGGCAGGCGGCCATGCGAATTTTGAGCAAGCGCGCACCGGAAAAATAATTCGCTGATTTCTTGCGGTCCGCTTGCAGAAATTTGGAATAATTTTATCGAAATTTTAGACGAATGCTTGGAGAACAATCGCGGTTTCCTTATAGATTAGCTGCGGCGCAGTGGCCGCATTCTCGCGGACTTTCCGCGAGAATGTGCAAAATATCCGGGGGCCGCGCGGTCCTTTGTGGAGGACCGCGCAGCCCCTAGGTACTTTCCGCTGAGAGAATGTATCTCAAACTTGAGTAATTAAACCAACGGTGACACCTCTGCCACACAGAGTCTTACCTGTGCTCGACGTACGCCCGAAAATGCGTAGAAAGGGTCCGAGCGCTTGCTGAAAGTTTGGCCAGCGCTCGCTGAAAGAAATTATTTGCCAAGCGCTTGGAAAAAATGCTGTATTGCTGCCAGCTGGCAGAATATGCGACCGTAAAGGAAGTGCCACCCGCTGAAGGTTTGGCCACGCCCCAAAATTCTGCTGACCGCTTGCAGAAAAGCGCGAATTTGCGGACCGCCTGCCCCCGGCGATTATCTGAGTATAAGCCTAGAAATATCTTGTTTATTAAGAGTTCGGAAATACACAAAAAGTCCGTTACCCTGTAAAGTATTTATATTAGCTATTTATCTAGCTATCTAAAACTTCCTCATTTCTGTCAAGTCAATTACTTTTCTTTTTAGATCTTCTTTTCTTTCCTCTATATATTTTGTTACTAACTGTGCATCTAAAAAACGGATGTTCTTTTTTTTAGTGGATTTGTGTCATCTGAGATATTACCAAATCCTTTAGTTTGATTATTGAAATTAAATGGATACGCAGTAACTATGTACTGTATCCACTGTAATTTTTTATCTCTTAGACATTTCTTGACGTTTTCTTCATTTTCAACGTAATCTAAAATGTCTATGCTTACATTTTCAGGATCGTGCCCTGTATCTCGAAAATGTTTAACCATGAATGTGTTCAAATTAACTTTTCGGAAACTATTCATATGCTGATTAATTCTCGATCTTAATGATTGCTTAGTTTCTCCAATGTACTGTAATGTACATGTGAGACAGGTAAACATATAAATCACATTTTTAGAATCGCAGTTAGTGTTCTCTCTCTTGTTTGTTTTGAAGTAGTAATTCGTCGTTGAACTTTTGACGAAATGTTGAAGTTGATTTATTCACGTATGTGACATTTCTTTCTTTGACATTTCCTGCCTTTGTAGCCATTAGAATCTGGATTATTCACTATTTTGAGTTGGTGTCCTCTATAATCATGTATAGTAGACGCGGACAACAAGAACACTCATTCGAATGACTTGTGTTTTTGTTGCTGGACCTTAAATCCGTCGAGTTCGAGGCGATCCTTCCTGAACTCTTATGCAGTTTCCTTTAGGAGAAGTATTCTCCTCCAGGGTTAGGGCAAGCCACTTCATCGCTGCGGAGCGATACCCGCGATGCAAACTGCATCGGATAAACCGCGCCCAACACCACGCCAGGTTTCTCTCGAACTGTCTTGTGTACTGATCTTTTATTTAATATTACAAAGCACAGCGATATGTTAATGGGTACTAGTTACCCGTTTTTGGGTTGCACGAATAATTGTGTTCGCAATAAATATAATTTCTAACATCTATCATGGAACTTAGTTCTTATATTAGGTTGTCCGGAAATTAATGCAGGTTTTGAATTCCAACCGCAATAAGTCATATACTTCTCATTTCTAAGTAGGTTGCAAGGTACCGTTCGATAGAGCAAAGCAAGCTCTACAAGACGACTGTCTTGCTTTTGCAACAGCTCTCATTTGTTTCGAGTTTCGAGTTAAAAACTAAAAAGACTCAGCAGCCCGAAAAATCGAAAAAAATCGTAACTCAGTTCAAAAAGACCCTACAAAAATTCTAATTTGCTCACGTAAACACTATCCACATAAGACATCTATATACGCCTTTGCCGTTTTTTTCCTCTGTTAGAAATCACGAAAACGGAAATTTTCGTGCCTTTGCCAAAGTGATGCTGGGCCGTCCTCACATAGGTAGTTGTATACCACAAGCCTGTAGAAGTACAAACATAAATTTCCAGCTCTCTACAAGCTTTAGTTCCCGAGAAATTTGAATTTTAGCTTGGACCACATGACTAGGGAAAACTGTATTCGATATTTCTCGAGAACTAAATCTTGTAGAGAGCTGGAAATTTAAGTCTGTACTTCTACAGGCTTGTGGTATACAACTACCTATGTGGGGACGGCACAGCATCACTTTGGCAGATGCACGAAAATTTCCGTTTTCTTGATTTCTAACAGAAAAAGAAGTATGACAACGGCGTATATAGATGCTCTATGTGGATTATGTTTACGTGAACAAGTTAGAATTTTTATAGGATTTTTGGGAACCGAGTTACGATTTTTCTCAATTTTTCGGACACTTGAATGTTTTT